TCTTCGGCGAGGCCGACACGGCCCATTCGTGGGACTGCGTGTGGCGCCTCGTATTCCGCGTGTTCACCTGGACCCGGCTGTTCGTCTACCGACTTGGTGAGTCCCCCAAAAAAAGGAATTTCCTTTAAAAAGAAGTGAAAAACTCTAAAACACACCATAATTTTTGAAAAACACTATTTCAGGCTCTTTGCTGATCGGCCTGCCGGCTGCGATCATCTTCGGCGTGCTGTTCGCGCTGTTCACCGTGCTGAACGTGTTCGCGTGCGTGCCGTTGGCCAAGCTGCTCTCCATCCCGGCGCAGTGGATCGCCAAGGTTTGTTGTCAGCATTTTTTAGAGAAGTCGAAGAGATAGTCGAAATTTCAAAATGTCGAAAAGATAATGTCGGCATTGCACCACGGCGAAATTCCAAAATGGCGCCATTTTTGACAACGGATTTCAGGGATTTTCGAGAGATTTATTCATCGAAAATTCGACATTCTGAAATTCTGGCACTCTGAATTTTCGACATTCGAAAATGTCGATATTCTGAAATTTCGGCATTATGAAATTTCAATATCACGAATTTCGAAATTATGATAACAAACCATTAAAAAGTGGTTAAAACTTAAAACATTACGTTGTTAGGTGTGGACGTACGTCGTGGAGGCTGTGTTCGACCCGGTCTTCCGTTCGATCGGCCTCATCTGGTCTCGGGTAAGTCATCTTATCGTAGTTTATTTCGAATTCGCGAAATTAATCGAAGTAAATCAATATTATTAAAAAATATACCATTTAGCTAGGTTTTAGATAACCTTAACGTACACAAACTATACTTTTTAAGCTATACTGTCGATATTCCAAACGAAAACAACATCTACCCTTTTAGTTGGGTTTTAAATACCTTGAACGTATAAAAACATATCTTTTTAGCTATATTTTCGATATTTTAAACGAATAAAACAAAAATTAACCGTTTTAGCTACCTTTTAGTTACTTTAAAAATTTAAATAAACTCTTTAAAGCGCCAAAATATAACCTTCAACTTTTGCAGATCACCGCCCGCAACTACGGTATCCACAGCCACCCCACCGATCTCCCCCAGTAATTTATAAAACTCTCATTTTTATCAGATCTCCGTTTTCCCCTTCAATTTCTGTTGCTTCAGTGCTTTCAACCAATAAAAATATAACTAAAAATCCTTGTCCCGGGTCCCGGCTGGATGCCCTGCCGCGCCCAAATTTTTAGCCCCGCGCACCAGCCGCCCCCTTTTTTCATTGTAAATTTCCCATTTTTCGAGTCCTATTGGGTAGCTTTGGCTTAACGTAGCTTAGCGTAGGCTAAGCCTAAGCCTAAGCCTAAGCACCACCCCCGTTGGCCCTGTAAGATTCTTGAAAACACGATCCTCACCCCCCAATGACCAAAGCTTTTCTCGCCCAACCAAATTTCTTATTCTCTTTTTTCGACTTGGTGAATAAATCATGTTATCTTTCTAAATATGTGTTTTCATTTACAAAATTTAAATTTTAATTGAAAATTGAAAACAGCAAAAATTAAATTTCGACCATGGCGAGCTAGCAGAGATCCTTAGAAGGTGTGAATAGATTTTCCATTTTCTAGAAATACCTGTATTTTTTGACGCACTAATTGGTAACAAAAAAGATTTTTCTAAGTAAGTTTTTTGGCCGCGGCGAGCTAGCAGAGATTCTTAGGGAACCTAGCGGCGAAGTAAATACTTGATAAAGTAGTTGTGTGAATTTTAAACGTTATAATTTCCTGTAAAAAATTGAAGCGAGCTAGCAAGGAATGTCTAAACATTTGAGTAATAGTAAGAATTTTAATAAATAGCGAACTTTAATTTTTGGAAATTTTAAATTGCATAGGAAAATGGCTGCTTTTCGAGGGTTACTTTCAAAATTACGAAAGTTACATAAGCAAATCTCCAGCGAGAAAAACCCAAATTCTAAGCGGAATTTTGACTAGGATTTCGACATTATGATACCTTTTCGATGGTATTCCAGGATTTTCGCATCGTTTTTCCGGCTGGCGTCTTTCAGGATATTTGGATTCGGGATTCGGGCCATACACAATTTTTTTTCAAAGCCATTTCCGGCGAAATTTTCAAGGGGCATCCGCTCCGCTCAAAACCCAGGCCGCCACGACCATCCCCGGCGACAGTATGATGGATTATGGTGTGCAGAGACACAGGAGGCGATATCGGTCAGGATGGGACAGCTGTGCCCGTCCACAGTAACCGAACACCGTGCCCCTCGTTTTGCTGGTAGGCCGCGCGGGGGCGACGCGTGCGAAAATATTTGCAATCGACGCGCCGAGGGAGGGGGCTGTATCGTACAAAAGGCATATATCGCATCGAACAGCCCGAAATTCGATCTCCCGTAGAGGGTGAAGTGGCCGCGTTGGCTCGTTACCGGGACCCCGGTCAACGGGATCCATTCGAAAAGTATGGAGGCTGGGTGGATTGGGGCTGGAAATAGCCGTGGTTGTGATTTTGAGGCAGTTTGTCGCTCAGTACAACCCGGTAAATCACGAAAATGTACTGTAATGTCCAAAAAATTTTTGATTCAAAAATAGCTTTTTTGGAGGTAGATTTTCTAATTTTCGGGGACAAATGTTCAATCCCAGGTACCGTAGAGGAAGCAGAGTAAAACTTAATCATTTATTCGAGTGGAAAATCTTAATAGAAAACCGCGGAAATTCAAAAAAATTGGGATTTGTCTAAAAACCAGCAATTTCAGGAAAAGGACTTACAGGGTAAAATTGGATCACGAGTCTTGAAATTCAAAAGAAACTCTCTCCTTCTCTCGCACTCGCTCTCTCTCTCTCTCTCTCTCTCTCTCTCTTTCTCCCTCGCTCTCTCTCGCTCAGTCTCTCTCTCTCTCTCGCGCTCTCTCTCGGTCTCTCTCCCTTTCTTTTCTCTATAGCTATTTCCCACAACCAAGAGTTCCACCCTACTCCCACACCGAAGTCTCAGGCTTACGGTGGCTTTCCCCGGCCATATGCCCAGCGGGCCCCAAGCCCCCCGGCGCGGTGCTTGCTCGTAATTATCGTGCCCCAAGGGCCCAACCTCCCTCCCCAATACCGCCCACCAGAGACAGACAATTGGCACGCGGCCAAACGGCTCCTGCCTGCGGGTCACGTCAACTGTCCCCCCCCAGCCCCCCCAATGCCTCACATTTGAATATCGGCTGTGCCCAGGGGGCAAATAGCACCGGGGAAGGGGCAATTGCGCAACACCCCCCCACCCCACACTCGCAGCCATTGTTGTAATTGGCGGGGGGTTGAGGACGTGGGATGGTCTCGCAACATCCTTCAACATTGTCAGCGTCCATTTTGTTGGAGTATGACGTACGGAGTAGTAGTACGTACCTTGTCACAGGTTACCTAGAGCATGGTGCATGGACACCTGAAATAATAAAGCCCTAAAAACATACCTGGTACTTTGGCATCATCGGGGGGCTATTTTTCCGATCGGAAAACTATCTAAAAACCTATAAAAACTATTGTTGCGGTTAAGGGGAACTTTGGCATTATCGGAGGGGTGTAGAACTCTAGAAGCCCTAGCAATTGAATAGCAAGTATTTTTTGTAAACTTAAGGTTAGATCATGTGGAAAAACTATCTAAAAGTTCTGAAAATTTTAAAAATCGAAATTTTGAGTAAAAATCGGCCCGTTTTTGGTCGGAAAATCAATATTTTTTTGTTACTTTTTAAGAAGTTCTCACGTTTAGAAAGGGTGGCAAACTGAGAAACACTTCCTCTGGATATTAGAAAACTTGGATATTAGAGAAAAATTTCTCTCCCCCCCCCCGATAATGCGAAAGATCCAAATGCCGAAATTTAGGAAAATAATTCAGCCTACTGAATTGCCGATCTGCAAAACACCCTAAATATAAACCGAAAACGTAGCGTACCCCTACGCAACGCTCCTTTTCACGCAAATCCAACCATTGTCTTCGCCTCCTCAATGGGCACACACAGTATCAAGGAGCGGATTAAAAAAGGCTCCCGAGCCGCAATTAGGTGTGTGTGCGGGGGTGCGCAGGGCACCTGGCCTCTATGTGCAGGCGGCCGAGAGCGGCTTACCTATGGTCAAGGGGCGAGCACACGTCCATCAATGATGAAATGGACGGATGGAGGGGAAGGATGGGGCCATGTGGCAATTATCTCTCATCCACCACCACTACCGGGGGGGGCTCTCTACGGGCCACGATTTCTCCATTCATGCATAAATGAGAGCCGGAATGTACGCTACGGGGGGATTTTGGCTCGATGCCAGGTGGGAAGGGGAGGTTTATAGCCTGTAGTTTACAAAGACTACAGAGTGAAAATTAAAAGCATTTCAGGGAGTTGTACGTGTACACCTATGAACACCTGCGTACCTAGCTTTTTACAGTCTCTGCGTAAATAGGTGTAAACGTCCAATTTCCGGAAAGTGCACTTTAGGTTGGTAAAACGAAGCTTTAGAAATTTTTGTTTTTAAAAAGTTTGAAGTTTTCGTTTTTCAAAGATGGCACTGCTACTTTGTCTCTCTGCTACGAGACGCTACGCTCCCCGCTCTTCGTCAAAACTGGGCCAGGGTACCGCTCCATTGAAGAATGGCTAAAACCAGCCTCAACGCTGCCGATGCATCCGAAAAACCAAAAAAATTTTTAAAAACCGGCTATAAACTTAGCTCTAGCATTTCCAAGCAAAAAGCAAAAGCTTAGAAAGCCAGGGATCCGAACCTGCGCAAGCCACTTCCTGCCACCAGCGCCTCGGACCACTCGGCCGTCCCAACATTTCATGGGAAAGGCAGCCGGGAAGGGGAGGCTGCCCTGTCTTCCCCTGCCTCCATTTCGAAGCCTAAAAAGAGGTTGGAAAGTAATCAAAAACTAATTGGCATAACATAAATTTGAATGGGAAATTAACAGCCGGAAGTGGGCCGTGCGGAGAAGTCGTAAAATGTTTTTCTCATTCTCCAATCATCACTGGAACTCCCGGAACGTCAGCTCTGCTTCAACGAGATGAGCACCTGCCACAACTACAAGCCGACCTTTGTGGTAATTTTGTTCTTCCGAGGCTCAGCCGAGCTGGCTTTTTTTCAGTTGGTCTTCGGCGCGGGTCAAACGGCTGATGTGGCCGCCATCGCCGCTGCCGTGTCCGCAGCTACTGGTGCTCAGCCGGCCGCTGCTCCAGCTGCTGCTCAACCTGCCGCTCGACCCGCTGCCCAGCCGACGGCTGCCCAAGGTGCTGCTCCAACGACCCCCGCTCAGCCGGCTGCTGCTCAAGCTGCTGCCCCCGCTGCTGCACTACCCGCGGTTCGGCCAGTCGCTGCTCAAGCTCAACCCGTCGCCCATCCAGTTGCTGCTCCACGAAACGGACGCGCCATCAAAACAGCCGCCCGCCCGCGCGCTAACGCGCCGCTGGCCTCCCCGCTGGCCGCCCCGCCCAGGGCCCCTGGCACTCGCCCACCCCGAATGCGACTCCATCTCCGCCAAGTATGCGCTGTTTTTCAATCAGATTATAACCATTTCTTAGGTTGGCTACTGCTTCTGCGGGGCCCACGGCATCCTCTACCCCGAGTACGGTCAGCCGGCGTGCAAGCGCTGCAAGGGGCAGTTCTAGTGAGTTTTTTCCCTGCAGCGCGTCAAGCCCATTTCTTGCAGTGACGCTGACAGGTTCGTCAGGCGCGACGGTGCCGTTTGCAGGCCGAACTGTGGGAAACGTGGTTAGTTTTTCAGTTCCGCGAAAGTTCTGCTAAAACCACCTTCAAAAATTGTCCATTTTAGGCCTCTGCTCTCTCCACCGCCTCCTCCACTTCGAGATGATGGGCATGCGACGCGACCTGATCACGCACCAGAAATAAGCCTTCTACAAACGGGGTTTTTTTTGTATAATAATGTTCTCTTCTTTATCATAATGATTGTTCGGTTAATGTCTTGTTCGCTTTCATGATGTGATATAACTAAATTAATTGAATGTATTGTGGCTTTAATAAAGTTTTGGGTTTGGAGCAAAAATGGTTACCTTTTGAGTTCGACCAATTCGTCTCAAAATTTACAAACGCCGGGCCCCCGTATCTGGCGTCGGGATCTGTCTGGGGCCTCCCACAAGCACATCCATCTGCTAATCCCAGCGCGACCCCGGCGAGAGGCCCACCGGCCAGCTAGAAGGCCCTCAAGTGCCCTTGTGTATGGCCCACCACACCACTTCTTATGACGACCCCACCGAGGGGAGATATTTAAACAAACTCACGCTGGTGTCAGCCTAAATGTAACGAATGGGCGGGGAGGTTCATCCAGCGCCGGAGCGCTATTAAATTCGCGTAAACTTTATACGAACACAAAACCGGTGATAAGTACGAATCACAACTAAACGTGACAACATCCAAAAACGGGAACAAAATTACACTAATCATCAACGAATCAGCGAGTCCATCTGGCTGAACATGTTGCTGATCGTCTGGCTGGACATTCGGTTCTGAAAAAAAATCGATATTCGAAGCGGAAGCGAACATACATCTGAGCTGAGCACCATGTTGAGCACCGAGGCGAAGGCGCTGCGATGCTCCGGGGACAACAGCGCCACCAGCTCCATCCGCCGCTCGTACATGTCCTGCAGCATTTTCGGCATCTTCACGGTGTTCGGGCGTTGCCCCTGAAAATAAGATTTTCGTGCTAGTTCGTTAGCGGAGGGGGAGCTGACTATTTTTCAGTCTTATCGCTAGAGTAATAAAGCACAGACCATTTTTAGTGGCTCAACAGTGTCCGATTGCTAAAAGGTCATAAAAGCATCGTTGCAAAATCGAGAATGTTTGAACATTTTATCCATTTTCAAAAACTTTCATGATTTTTTATAAACTTTCTATTTCTAAAAGACTGAGAAATGCCAATAATAAGGGTTTTTTCATTTTAGCGCGCCTACAGACACAGGAAAAGTTTACGACTATTTGCATAAAAAAAATACAAAACGCACCATCCTCTCCTTCATACGACGCTCTCGCCTGCGGTGTCGGCTGCCCTGGCCTTCAGCCTCGGAATCTGAGCCCGACGACGAGCTGCTGGATGACGAGTTTTTGGCCATCTAAGAAGCGTTAACCTCCCAATATAATCGAAATTACCTTGATGCGCTTCTTGCTCTTTTGTTTGTCCTCCTCACCGCTATCCACTTCACCCTCTTCCAACTGAAAATTGATAGCTATAACTGGGATATTCACTTACATCTTTAGCGGGTTCGGCCTCATTTGCCTCGGCGTCAGTCCCGAGTCCCTCGCGCATCTTCGCAATCTTGTCGGCTTTTCTCGCCTTGTTGCGCGCTTTCTTCGCGATGAGCTTCTCGCGTCTGAAATTTATTTTAACGCCACAAAAGTAGCCTATACCGAATCTTTTCGAGCTCCTCCTTCGTCGGCAATTTTGGCCTCCCTCTGGGGGTTGGTGGCTCAGGCTTCGGCAGATTTTCGCTAAAAGAAAAGTACATAAAACTCATAAGCCTACTATTGGTTCAATTTTCCCCAAGAATCGAAGGTCAACGGCTCGCCGCCCAGCATGATATTGCCGTGGACGTCTTCATCCACGTCCACGACACCAACACCCGTAGAGATCCTAAAAATCACAGTAATTTATTTAAAAGTGTTGCCCGTACGTCTGCAGAAGCGCTCCCACGCCAAATAGGCCTCTCACATCGGCTCCCTGAATGATAATTTTAAGATTAAAAAATTTTCCCTTACCGCGGCCTTCCGCTTGCGTTTATTTTCCGGAGGCTGGGGCACGATTACTTTGGCGACCAGCTGAACCCGCGTCGGGCGTTCAAACAGGATCGGGCTGATCACTTCACGTTTCCATATACTAAAAGATTGTTTTTGGTCAAACTTCATTTCCGTTCGATCGCCCAGCATCCATTAAAAAATACCGAATCAAATCCTCGAGGTGTTGCCGCATCCAACCGGGCTTTTCGTCGTGAAGCTGCAATTCGAGAAACTTCAGGAAGCAGGGCTTCAATAGCGAATCGGGCAAACCGCCAAACATCACAGAGACCTCGTCAAGTTCCTAGAAATTGCATAGACACCTCAGCTCGGCGAATTACCGGATAAATGTCGTCTATTACGTTCCAGTCGACGAAATTGATCTTCTTGACTTGGACGAGCTGCAAAAAGCATTTCCCAGGAGTTAAATCGGAATACCTCAGTAATTGCTGCAATAATATTTTCTTCCGTAGGTTCAGGCAAATGGGAGAAGTCCTCTTCTGGTGGTTCCGTGGAACAGGTGGGTTCGACGGGCGCTGAAGTGGAGCCGTTCTAAAATAGTGTTAAAAATATTCGAAAAGGCGAATACTTACCTGCTCGACAGCGGCTTTCTTGGCTTCAGGATGGGGAAGCTCACATTGACCTGTATTCTAGAAAAGTAAAGGATGAAAAACATAAGCCAAATGTCCAACCTCGTTTTGCTTCGTATCTTCAGTCGTGACACCATTCAAGATATCTTTCAAGCGCCGGTAAATCGGCTCCTCCTCGTCGGTGAGCGGCCGCAGCTCGACGGCCAGCTGGAACTCGCTGGCTAATCGGCCCAAGATTTGTGTTGCGTCTATAGACATCTGAAAAGCAATTTGAAAGAGGATTCTTAGTTGATACAAAATATTGAAAACATCGGAATTTCGAAATTGTGGCAAAACTTCAAAGAATGTTCATGGTGAACAAGCCAAAAATGTAGTCATTTCTCCAAAATCACTTCATACAAGTTTATTTCTGAGATCAACCGATATTATTGAGCAAATTAGCGAGCAAAAAGGTGCTAAAAAGCTCAAGACACGAAGGCAGGTATAATTTCGAATCTATACAAATGCGGGGAAAGACACGAAAATTTTGAGCGATAATCTTAGAAAGAGCGACCAAGCGAGCCATAATATATACAATTTCATCATTTTAGCGACGCAAAGAGTCGATCCTCTTTCGCTTCCGCTTTTGGGCTCGTCCGAGCCCGTCGAGGTGGCGGGGGTTGATTTGAAGTTTAGGCGGCCGGACGACTCGCCCGGTCAGCTCGACAAACCTCGCCCAGGTGAAGGTACACTAACAAGATTCTGTTAAGTTTTATACCAACGACAAACCGTTCCCTCCTTTGTAGTGGTGAGTTGGAGACGTTCAAGGGTATCTTGGACATCCTCCAGATTCATCCCCAATCGCTTGCTGAGGCCGTCAACGTTGATGATTTCGTTGTTTTCGAGGCGGCCAATTTCTCGGGCTACAGCCCAAGTCCAATAGCGCTGATAGCTAAAATGGGTTCTTTATAATCTTTTTGGTAATTTTTGATGTTTACTTTTTACCATTCTTACCTGGCAGTCCCTAACTCTGATAGTGGCTTCTCCGGGCCGGCAACCAAGCAGTTCCGTCGCGACAAAATATAACCTAAAGCGCATATTTCATACGGGTTTCGAGGTTAAGACTCTGTTATTCATTACTTACTCAATTGTATCAACATCGAACCATATCCTTGTCTAGAATATGGCGGAAAGACGACCAGACAAGACAAGTTGTGATGCGGCTCGTTTTTCTGCTTCGAGAAATAACCGACCGGCTTGGCGAACCCGTTCTTATCCATTTCGCCTAAGTCGATTAAAAAATTAGCCAAAAGTCTGCCTACAAAGGACGTAGAAAAAGTATTCCTCGACGTCGAAATAGATAGTTTTGTTGTCCATGAACAGCTTTGAAAAGAGACACAGGCATTGGGAATATGTCTAAAGTCGGTTGTGGCTAAATTATTAGAGAGAATAGCTTACTTTCACATCAACATTGGTAGACCCGCCGTTAACCTCATAAATCGCGACACCTCGCTGTAGATATATTCGGCGGCCAGGCGGCTGGGATAAGTTACATCCGTGCTTAAAAATAATTAATTATTACGATTAAGGACTCACCAAATGTGCTTTCATATTTTTGCGCTCATTTGTGTAGTAAAAACACATGTCGCACACATACAATTGCTTATCCAACTGCATCCGTTCCGGGTACGGAGAATAATACCTATGAGGCTTACATAGATTAGTAGGTAAAGGTCAACCTACCACGTCTCCAGCTCCCATTCACCAAATTGCACATGGGTGATATTTTTGATTTTGGTTCTCTAAAAAGCACATCGGCCTCAATTCGACGCTTACCTGCTCGTGCTGGTTTTTTATTTTGAGTTCGACTTCGTCGCTGTCCTCAAGTTGCTCGTCCTCCAAGCGTCGGAGGCGCCTCGTTTTCTCCTCATCGCCATCTGATCAAAAAGGTCTTTTCGAGAAAACGCAGTAAAAATGGTAATTTCGATATTTAGCAGTTTACCTGCGTTTTCAGACGCGTCCCGTGGGAGCTGCAATTTTCTCACGTGCCCAATATCGGTCCACCTGCGAAGCTATCTACTCAGTTATTTCCATCGGCACAAACCGGTCCCATTTCTTATCGAATCCACGAAAATGGATGAATATCTCGGTGTTGGGCGCATTTTCGCTAACCCGCGCGGCAAGTATGTTGACGGTGCGCCATTTTCCGAATGGGTCCTGGAATTTTCGTTAACGAAGAGAGTTTTAGCTAGGGCAATTTTCTCTATAGGCTCTTTCGGTGGTACAACCGAATTTAGCGGTTTTCGGACTTTAGTTTTAGTAAATTTTCGAACTAATTAGTTCTCGGAAATAAAAGCCGTGCCCTATTAGATCTTAAAAAACAGACATACCTTCGAAATACATTGGCCGCCGACGAGTGTCTGTTCTCCAGGGATGTCCAAGTGTGTCATTCAACGCCTATGTCCTTTATCAACTTGCAAGTTTGTTTTTTAAGATTTTTTGGTTCCGAAACGCCGGGTAAATCAACGATAGCGATGAGTGCGCGCCGAGTCGGGGTCAATTGGTGTGCAGCGTAGCCGCGGTTCAGGAGGCCGGTAACCGACAAAAGACGAGTTTATATTAGGGAAAATGTTTGTATAAGATTAGTAAACCGGAAACGGGTCGAGTTGATCGAGAGAAGCATTTTATGATCTTCTGTGTCGACATGCCTGGGAGCCCCCAGATAGAAAATGGCAACTAGCAAACGCCACAAGGTTTGCACGGTAGTATCAAGTTTTTATAACCATAAAAATCATTTTGGCGATGTAATAAGACATCGTAGGCACTACTTTAAGGTGCAGCTAATACTTTCAAGGTAAAAATGGCTCTGTTCAGGGCTAAATACTTCTAATTAGTATATTTCAAGTGTGCGAGCGGAGCGACACTGTCGAAAAATCTAACAATTTAGATTGAAAAGCGTGCTGTTAGGAGCAGATTTTTCTTAAAGTTCTGTCTGTACTCCGGAAGTGTAAAAACTTTTTTGATTTCACTTCTTGAAGTTGTGCCCGCCGGGATGTACTTGTTGAACTTGAGTTTCTGGCCCGTGTGATTGCGACCAAGTTGCAAAACCTTTGTAATTACCGGATGCTGCCGCCCAGCGAGCCATTCATCTAGAAGCCGGGCCGGCAGAAATATTGCCCCGCGCTAGATGCACCCAAAATTGCATGGCGATCCTGGCCGGCCGGCATCGTTCGTCTTCTGATGTGCCCCCGGACTATGTGGGAGGAGCAAATCCCTGCGGGACGCCACTCAACGGCTGGAGATCGACATAGAGACAGGCACACACACACCGACAAACACCTTTTTGTTGCTGTTTAGCCGCCCACGGTGTCACGCCCGGCACACCTGATGTAACCGGAGCTGGTGAGCTGCAGGAGGAGCACTAGGAGAAGGACGAGGAAGAAGAAGGGCGCGCCTCCACTTGGCTAGAGACGAGTCGAAGCTTTTGCCTTTTATTGGACGTGCTGCGAAAATGAATGCGCTGATTCCTGGGCTAAAGGTGCGTTTTTTTGGTACTGGACTGTTAGCGGGGGGGTACGCTTTACAGTAATTACAGTAGTTTAGCACGGCTCGATAGCAAATTATAAACCTTTTTAGAGCTTTTTTCAAAGTTTTCAGCTATAAAACGCACATTAAAAATTATGAAATGTCAAAATTTTTGAATTTTGGTCAAAAATGTATGATAAATGACAAAAAAGGCAAAAAAATCTTAAAATTGCAATTAAAAAACGTTTCTGATAATTACCTATTATTTAAAACTACTAACAACGAGATAAAAATTAGCCTCGCCCCCCCGCTAACAGATCTGAACCCCTTTTTTCATACTTGCAATTTTTACAATATTTAGTTTTGCTAGTCATTAGCTTTTTTTCGCCTGGCCGTCAACACCAAGGAGTTCAGCGCCCAAAATGTGATCGCATGTGATCGATACTTGGTACTGGACTATTAGCGGGGGAGGGGTAATTTTTCTCTTGTTTTACCGGTTATAACGTATTTTATAGGGCTTTTTATATTTTCTGATTGCTAGAAGATTCTAAAAAACGCTTTTTGGATGGCTTTTTTCGGTTGAAATACAGTTAAAATTTACTAAAACTATTAAAGTATTTCCTATTACGTTCTTAGCAATTTTTGGAATTATAGAAAAAAATCGCCCTCCCCCTCGATAATGCAAAAGTACCCTCGAGGATATCTTGTAAGTGTCTTGCAAAGTTTTCTAGCAGACACCCCCCGCGCGATGGCGATCCTTGGCCCCCGCGTTCCACTGGGTTTCCGGTGCGCTCGTGCTCCAAAAATATTCCGATTTTCGGGGCTCGGTCTCTGCCCGGGCAACAATCATCAACCCGGCCTCCTTCAAATTGCCCGGGCGTGTCGGGGGAGCCCGGAGAAAAAAAATGCGCGTCGAAAATGGGGCCTCGAGGTGGTGTCCGTCCCATTTGTGGTTGCGTTTTTAAGGTTATTTGGTTGATGAAACAGGCTGACGGGTTTTGCGGAGCTTGTTCATTAGCGGGGAAGCTAACATTTTGCGATGCTCCCGTAGCCGCGGAATAATAATTCATTAGAAACATTTTTTACACATTTTTCGAGATAAAGAGCTCATAAAAACTTCAAACATTTTGAATTTTTGATCAAAAACGTAGGAAAATTAGAATAAAACGCCACGTTCAAATTTTACAAACGGTTAACTTTTTTTAGAATTTTTTAGACATCAAAAACCGCTAAAAACGCTGCTAAAATATTCTATTTTCCATCTATAGGCTGAATAAAGCAAGTTAGCCCCCTCGCCCCCCCGATAAGGCACCAGAACCCTCAAATTGTCTATAAGATTACCTAGCCACGGAAAACTGCTAGAAATAGAATAAAAATGAGCGACGTTTTATTTTGTTAGACGTTAGGCTGAGTAGAGGAAGTCCACCCCTGATAACTCACCAGAACCCTCCGGCTTCGTTTTTGCGTATTTCGTTGATGAAACAATCGGATGGGTTGCATTTTATTTTCGTTTAATTATCCCATTTCCATCTTTTTCGATTCCTCTCGCTCACGCTCAAAATTCGTTCATGCATTTTTGAGGCCCTCGATACACGAGAGGGCAATCATTCCCGGCGTGAGGTTTGGATGTTTTTGGCCAGACATTTCGCTCAAGTATTCTCCCCACAACTAGACAGACATGCTAGGTTTTTCTAAAGGGGCCCTGATTTCTTAAACTTATCGAAAGCGCTTACGCGCGCACTTGCGTAAATTTTGTGAGCTCGCCAAAATTTTACGCATTTACCTTTTTAGGCGTTTTTTCGCATGCGTTTAAGTAAAGTTAGAATTTCTAGGGCGTTATTAGATGTTATTTGTAATTTTGTAGTTCATACCCTTTAAGACTCAATTTTGTAGTCGTCGCATGGTATGCTGGGTGGCGGATGCGAGGTGCGGGGCAGCGCGGACTGTCACCAGACGCGCGAGACGCAAATCTGCCGGCTGGGCTGGATTTTGCTGGCCATGTGGCTGCTGATGATCATCTACATGACAAAGGTGAGTGGTCTAGGGTGAGCTAAGCCTATGCCTAAGCATAGCCTAAGCCTAAGCCTAAGTCAAGCCTAAACCCGAAGCTAGGCCGAAGTTAAGCTAAGCTTAAGTCTAAGCCTAAGCGATGCTTCAACCCAAGCTAAGCCTGGGCCTAAGTCAAGCCTAAAACTAAGCTCGCCCAAGCCAAGCCTAAACCTAAGCCTAAGCCTAAGCCAAGCTTAAACCTAATCATTAACCTAAGCCGCAGCCTCACAAAGCTTATGCTCATTATTAATCATAACTTATTTATCTATATTTTTTGCTTGCAGGAAATGTGGTGCGGGGCGCCGCTGGAGACTCCACGAGACGCCAAACTACGACAAAAATCGCCGGGCGCAATTTTGGAGGTCTAACCAATTACTGGATACTTTTAATGATTGTATTCTTACGGGTCGATGCTCTGCGGGTTTTGAATAAATAAATTTATACAGAAACCGACGATACATGTGCACATTTTGGGGGATTTTATGTGACCCGTTACAGCAACGAATCCCCAGTCTCCAAGCGAACCTCGACCCCGTTCGCGTCGTCGCGCGCCACGGAGGTAAGCATCGTCTCGGAACCGTAGCGCTAAAAAAGAGCTGATATTTTGCTTTGTTAATCTAAAACTTATTATAACGAGTTTTAAAGGGGCTAAAAAATCAAATTTCGCATTCTCCGGAAGCTAACCAATTTGGCAAAGAAACTAAAAGCCAATTTCTACAGTAGATATTTGCTCCTTAAATTTTGTAATTTCTAAAGTTTGGATAATCTCAGAGCTTTTCTATTATAGGGGGGCAATGCCCTTTGTTAAATCGATGAATATCGGGTTTTCGACCAAAAATGCCGTTTTGCGACGAAAATTTTGGATTTTAGACACTTTCCGGGTTTGCGAAGTAATTTTTGAATATTAAACCCCCACCCCGATAATGCCAAATTACCGCTAAAATTAATCCGCAAACAATTACTAGTTTTCTACCCACCGGCATTTGCCTTGAATCGACGTTAGAGGGCGTGTTGATCGCGGAATTTCTAAAAATTCGGCTAGAAAAGTGGCTTTCCACGAAACCCACGTCTTCATCTGTCTGAACACGTTGAACTTGAAGCCGGCGATGCTAAAAAAATTGGGCATATTTTAGGAATTGGGGCGAATATAGGAAGAAAATGGTGGTGAACAATGGACGGTGCAGGCTAACGTGGACATCGTGTCGGACAAGTGATTCGCTTTTTAAAGGGACTGACAAGGCATGTCTATGGATTTTAAAGGCTCAGGATTCCCTTTCGATCCCGGTATCCTCGACACGCAACGCGTCAGCCTTTTCCATTGCGTAATCGATTACGATACGCCTACACGGCGTCAGCGGCGCGTTGCATGTCGCGCGTTTACAAAGTTCTATGGCGAATCCATAGCCAGAAAAATACATAGCCCTGCCTTGAGCGTCCCTTTGATGCATCCGTTTTTAGTGAGATTAATTCCGTCGGGTTACTAATTTCGTTCTGGGCGGCAAGTAGTTATTTTTCGAAATAAAAATATGTTTTTATTTCTATTTGAAATTTTACAGTGTCGATTCATAATATCAAAATTCATAATGTCGACATTTCAAGATCCCGACCTTTACCATGAACGGATTTGTCGGACGATGTGAAAATGCCGACAAAATCCGAAAAAACGTTTAAAAGGAAGCGGCATACAGGCAGCAAGCTTATGTCGGGATCCTGGTTAGAGCCTTTTTGGCTGTCTGCATTCTGGCCAGTCCGGATTTTTTCTGTCGGCATTATGGCCGATTCCTCGGAAATCGCACAAATTTCGACGCCATGGACTTTTCAAATCATGAATTTGGATAGGTTCTGGATAAGACTAAAGCCGAAGCATTTCAAAACAGCCGCCATGAAACGGAATGAGTGGCCAAACGGAATACCCCGGTGTACGCAGCGCATGACTGCAGTGGACAAACCCACGATGTGCGCAGATGATCGATGTGATGGTTGATATAGGCGAGACGGTGTCCAGTGGTTGCTGTCGTAGTCGATAGAGTGGCTGACGCATTTTCGAGGGAGAATAGTGATGGGCGGTGGCTAGATATAGAGGGATAGAGGATAGAACGGGCTCGGTTAGTAGCGGAAATTGGCGGAAATTTCTAGGACACGAGGAAACTGTTCTGTTGCATTATCGGGGGGGGAGGGGTTTATTGCAAGGGCAAACTGAAGCGGTTCTGTGGCATTATCGGGGGAAGCGCAAAGGAAAGTTTATCGTAAGCGTAAGGCGAAGCGGAGTTTTTCCATTAGCGGGGGAGCTTCTGGCAAAGGCGGAGGGGATTCTGCCGTAAAGGCGAAGCTAAACGGTCCTTTTGCATTATCGGGGGGGTATCGAATTTCCCCACAAAATATTCTTGATTTTAAACTAATATCCTAACCAGTTTTTCAATATTCCTTTAAAACCTAATTGTTGTCAATCTGGCTCTTTTCCATTATCGGGGGGTATTTTTTAGTATCCTACCAAAAACGCTATTACAATAATTACTAGTTAATCCTCGAATTATTGAAAATGCCCCCCCGATAATGGAAAAGACCGGTTCTAATGGAAAAGGCAGCTTTAATTTGCATAAAAAATTTAAAATTCATACCCATTTCCGCGATTAGCTTTTGAAAACTGGCTAAAAACAAGCATTCTGACGCCTATTCACACTTCATATTCCGAATGCCTTGGGAATTTGGTGGGTTCCCCAATGGTCTCGACAACGCTGCCCCCGACATTTCAGCGAGATTCGTGGTGTGGTCGCTGCCACTCGTCCTCCCCTTTCTCATCGGATGTGCCGCCAAGAAGGAGAAGGAAAAGCCGCTCACCGCCTCACAAGTTTTTGTAGGTGTTTATACAAGGAAATCCTCTAAAATTAGGGCTAAATTGCGTTATATGGTCACTAAACGGATTTCGGATTTTTATATACCAAAATGCTCAGCAGTTCGAGCTGGTTCAGGATCAGTTCAAAAAACTATTGGGAAACACTTCTGGAGCGAGTTATAACACTTCAAAGTTGGCGAGTGTCGTATATGGTCACTAAACGGATTTTCGATTTTTATATGTCAAAATGCTCAGCGGGCCGAGCTGATTCTATAACTGTTAAAAAAACCTTTGGGAAATACTTCTGGAGCGAGATATACCACTACAAAGTTTGGCGTCACCCCGGCCCACTACATAACGTTGTCGCCCCGGTGAGTCAGTTTTCGGTGTTGCGAAAAATGGTTGGGTTCGAAATGGGTTTGGCATGAGACTACACACCCGATCTGAGCCTAAAAATAAGGCTTCGTGCCACCGGGGGCCTAGTCGCTTCGGATGGGTGCGAGCTCGTACAGGGTTTCGAAATCCGGGCGCCAAGGCCGGCGAAGCGGCCGGGGGCGCCCCGATTTCGGAAGAGTGGAGCGGCAGCCCATCCGAAGCGACGGCCCACCTTGCCTGACTCATGGGAGTACGTTCAATAATATACCACTTATGAGATATACCACTTCGAAGTTAGTCTTCAATGAGCCCCCTATATACCAAGTTTTCGCCCCGGAAATTCCGTTCTAGGGGGAAGATGGATAAGTGTGCGATAAGCGTTTGGCTTGACACTCCACACTCGATCTGAGCCTAAAAATAAGGCTTCGTGCCACCCGGGGCCTAGTCGCTTCGGATGGGCGCGAGCTCGTACAAGGTTTCGAAATCGGGGCGCCCGAGGCGCGCGTAGCGGCCAGGCGCCCCGATTTCGAAGTGGAGCGGCAGCCCATCGAAGCGACGGCCCACCTTGCCTGACAATGTATTTTTTTTACCCATGAAACGGCAATTCTCCACCATTCCGTTTCTTTCCGAGGTACAGTTGGCGTATTTTGGTGTACTACGTACTACTTCAGGGGCTGAATGGACGGTTTGTAAGCTAGATATCTCGCGACAGAGATTTTTCCCAAAAGTTTTTTCAACTGATCTAAAATCAGCTCGACCTGCTGAGCATTTTGACATATAAAAATCGAAAATCCGTTCGGTGACCATATACGACACTCGCCAACTTTGAAGCGGTATATCTCGCTCCAGAAGTGTTTCCCAATAGTTTTTTCAACTGATCCTGAACCAGCTTGAACTGCTGAGCATTTTGGTATATAAAAATCCAAAATCGGTTTAGTGACCATATAACGCAATTTTCCCAAAATTAGTGCTAGGAAACATAGTCAGCTAAGCCCAGGTACTTGTGCATTATCGGGGGGAGTGTTTGTGTATTTTTACTATTGAAACCAAAAAATGATTAAAAAGACGACATGTGAAAGAAATAGAAAAATATCGATTTTTCGACAAAAAAGGCCGATTTTCGTCCAAAAACTCTCCATTTAATTTTTTAATGCGTTTTATAGACTTTTCCATTTGAAATACCGCTGTATTTTCTTAAAAAACGCTACATTCCTATACCGATACATACCGCTACGGAAACACCAAAAATCAATATCGTATAAAAAATTCGATTTTTCGACCAAAATCCTTTTTCAAAATTTTTCTTTTTTTAAAATAGTTTGTGACCTGAAATCTACTTGCTTTTTACGAAAAAAATTTGAAAATACTTTCTACTACGTTGCTAGTAATTTCTGGACGTATACCCCCCCCCCGATAATGCAAAAGCCCCCTCGACTGCAGAGATCCATCCATCCGGGCCAGGGATTTTGTCTCTCGGCTCCCTGTCGTCCTACAGGGCTGTCAAGTACATCAAAATGTTCGTATTGGTCTGGCGAGTATTTTGGTATACGGTACACACCTACAGGACGGCGGGTAGCCGAGATACAGTAGACCGACTTAGAGCGTGGGAGGCCATCTGGAGCCTTACCTAGCAGTGCCTTGACGGCCCCTTTATTCTACGTATTCCAGAGGCCAAAACCCGGCGAGGTCGAGCTGAACGACCCGAACTACCAGACGCTGAAGATCGTCGAGGCCGACCCGTTTGCCAAGAAGTGAACAAGCCGACGGAATGTGCTGCTGCCCGTGTCATGGATGGATCCCTGCTACTACTCCTGGACTCTCTCTCCTTCTCCCCATCTACTCTCCTCTGCCCGTCATCCTCATCATCATCATCCGAATTAAAGCGCCTATTGTGGTCAATTTGCGGCTGTGTCTATTAGAAGAAATAGGTCAACCACCCATGTTGTCTATTCGAGCCCTCTCCCTCGTGGAATAAAGCCTCGTCTCTTGCTTGGGTTTTTGGTTTGAAAATGCGAAGCAAAGTATTCTAAGTGTTCAACGAATGACCCTCCCACGCAGCCGGCCGGTCCTTGCGTACTGTATCTCGGCTACCTGCCATCCTACAGGTGTGGTAAGCATACCAAAATACTCGCCAGAGCAAGGCGAACATTTTAGTATACTTTACACCCTTGTAGACGAACAGGGAGATGAGATACAAAAGTTGGAGGTTGGCTGGAGGGGTATCTGGAACCTTACCCGGTCAAACTTTAGGTTAGAAATGGCAACTTCGTGTCGTGCAAATTTGGCATATCAGTGAAAATTACTTTAAAAACTAACGCCATAAAAAACCTTGATTTTTGGCACTTTGGCATTATCGGGGGCATTGCTCAAGGGGAAAACCCAACTTTTTCGGAACCTCTTTATCAAGTTTTCTGATGCAAATGGCGGGAAATGTTTCAAAACCATTTTTGCTATTCCAAACGGCAAAAACTACAGAGTTCTATTAAAAATGCCAAAAAATTACGCTTTTCGAGGAAAATTTCGAATTTTTCAGAATTAAAATTTTTTTCAGGTAGTTTTGCCACTCAGAATAGAGCAAAATTTGATGAAAAACATAAAAATATCTATTATTGGGTTACTAGATATTTTTAGGTATTTAGCAAAAAAATGAGGTTCAGCCCCAGATACGCCCCCGATAATGCCAAAGCAACGAAAATTTAGCGTAATGAGTGGGAATGGCTCAAAAAGCCTAATGCTATTTCTATAAGCCAAAAAATACAGATTTCCGAAATTAGTAAAAGAGCAAAAGCAAGAAATCCATCCCCCGCCGGGATCGAACCCCGGACCCTTGGCTCGCGGACCAAACCCTTAACCATTCGGCCATAGCAACATAAAGCCCATCTAGTATACATATATATTCGGTTAGTAATCCATCTAAATAGTCGAACAAAGAGGGTGATGTGCCATGCCTTGTCAGCTACATTCAGGTCCAGCCTGAAAACCCAAAAAACACGGCTTACTTTTGCGTGTGCCGGGCGACAAAGTCGAGCGCGCTATGCGTCGCGTTGCCCACCGACTGTCGCTTCCGGTTCATTGCCAACGAGTGCTGCGTGCGCAATTCCCTGAAAATTCTGATTGGGTGCTTTTGCATTACCGGGGAGGGTGATCGACTTTTTTGTAGAAGTTCAAAGATAATAGTGCCCGTTTTAATACAGTTTTTTAAGAAAATGTAAAAATATTTCTAGTGGAAAAACCATCTAAAAAGTTCATAATTTTCGAAATTTTGCGCGAAAATGCTGATTTTTAGTAGAAAAATCGTTTTATTGTGTATCTGATTAAAGGGTCTCTGGTTTGGAAGTGGTAAGAAATGCTTACAAGGGAACCACTTAAGGTCAAGGTGGCGTTTGGTTATGGGACCCAGCTTTTTTTGTGCAGAATTTTTTGCTGATTTCGAATCCGTTTTTATTTTTTGCTAAATAGCCCAATTTAAAAAGTTATAGCGTTTCAAAGTTCCATTTTTTCTCCAATTTTCGAACTTTAAAGTCATTTTTCTTGCCTTACCCGTCTGATTCCACAAAAACGAATATCGCCACCGTATTCAGAAAAATTTTCTCTATAGAATGAGCTATTTAACTCAAAATTGATGAAAATTGAAAAAATCGACGATACTTGGTATGGACTCCGTTTTTTGTATGGGAAATGGGGAAAAACAGCCTGTTTCGCACGCCCGTAAGTGATCGTCGATAGGTAGTAACGCACTAATGAAATATACCAATCGAATCAGAAAAAAATTCTGTACAAGATAGGCTATTAACAATCAACTGTCCTAGTAAAACAAAAAAGTTGGGCATCGT